GTAGCCTATAATAATAATTATTATAGAATAAAAATTTCTTTAAATAATTGCAGGTACTCTTGGGACGAAAACCTAAGGCACCTAGTACTAGCCTTGGTAGTACCCACGGTTCTGTTCGGTGTGTCTCTTAGCGTGTTATGTTATTGGTATTGTCCACCAATGGGCAAGACTTGCGGTGGGCCAGGCCGTAATTTGATCGACAAATACACCAGGAAGGAAGAGTAAGTAACGTGTATGTATGCAGTGCCCAGTGTGGCTAGAAGAAAATACATCCTATTGAAATTGCTGATTTACATCGAGGAATTAAATTGTTCGAGAGTTGTTCTTAATAAAATAAATCTAATATCGTTCAATAGTGATTTGGTATAATTCCTCGAAGTAATGCTTTAAAATGAACTGTCACGAGAGAACGCTGCTGTATCTGTATCACAAGTTTTGTGTTGCATTCGTACAGCATCCTGGGAGAGGATGAGTTCGAGGAAGATGAGGAAGAATACTGACTGCTGCCAAGGGCTCACCCCCCAGCACGGGAGTGACGCCGAAGAAACTATTGAACAATCCCCCTACATATACATACTTTACGTTCTAAATTTAAGCGATCAATCGAAAGCAATAGCAACGTTAGGGAAATTCCGGCAACGAAGACAAACATAATTCGTTCGTATTTCAAAGCGTCTGACTAGTTTCGACCTTTACTACTTTCTACTTTAATCCAACGCACTGCATGCTGTATTTCGATCGACTGCTTTTATTGCAGTATATCTATTAACATAAACGCATTCAATTTTAACTCTTTTAAATTTCGCCTACGAAGTATTGTACTTTCGCATATTACTCGGTCTATCCGAATTATTGCAATAAATCAAAATCAATATTGTGTCCGAATGAATAATTCCATTTTAAAGATTATTCCGTCATGAAAAGTGTAAGCCGACGGAATCGTACATCGAAACTGCTGTCGTATTTGCTAAACCGAGTTAATCCAAGATGTCTTTCACAATATTTTTACACCGTGCAACTAAACAAAGATGTAAAAAGTGAACTTTTGAGAATTTTATATACGGACGCAATAAATTCTGCTAAATTGCTGCTCGTGAAATTTGTGGAGACAGTGAAGTGGGCTAGTTAATCAAGCGGAGAGCTTTGCTCGATTATCTCAGTATTCGGAGCGGGATTAAGAGGTACATGCGATACAACACAAGGTGCGCCTTCCTACAACGTGATAACTTTAAACGTAAGGAAACAAATAATTAAGCGACACGTTTTAACGGAGCATTCGTAATAAGATAGGTGGTGTTTGTATTTGTAAGAAATGATCGTTCAAATTCGGGTAAAATGATTCTCCAAATAATAAATAAATGACACTCTGAAATACAAAAGAAAAATTGTACAGTATGTTTAGAAGCAGCATTATGCATCTAATTATTTATCATTTTAATCATAAATTATG